ATATTATATTATATTATATTATATTATATTATATTATATTATATTATATTATATTATATTATATCATATCCACATAGTGCAATTAGGTGTCGAAACTACCAGTAACTCTCAGGTTGGAGCTATCGTGCACCCTAAACTCGCTACTGATCTGACCCAAGCATTCGTGAGTAGGCTCAAGTTCACCGATGAAATCACTTGCGCCCTGCATTCCAAATAGGTTGCCTCCATCCGCCATGCCTAGACAGCTTTTGCAGCAAGAACTTTGAGCGGAATCTAGCCCAAACTTATGACCAGGACAGTAAGTAGCCTTTAAACGCAATAAGAATTCTTATTGGTCGACTTGTCAGGTCTTCTTCTGATACAACCCGAATCAATCTAACCATTTATGAAAAGCACTTCGAAACAAATCACCGGAGTAGATGAATAACCCCTAAACGCTCATTCTTCCCTGATTATCCTTTGCTGTATGTTATTTCAGAAATCGTCTAAAAACACTCTATTCTTATGAAATTTTGCGTATATTTTTTCTTACCCGAGCAAAATCGTAGGCCTTGAAGGTGCGCATCTCTTCCTGCTTATTAAAGATGTGCCGAAACTTTCGATTGATCACTGAGAATAATTCCATTTCATCTGCAGATGAACGGATTGCGCGAACATTCTGCAAAAAAAGCAAGAATAAAAACGGAAAAATATGTTTGATGGATCTTGGTCCAAAAAAATCTGTCGTTCTATTTATATGTGGTTCTTTAGTTATTTATGACATTGAAACCGGATTTATTAAGTTTTACCCTTGTCAAGAGTCATACTTTATTTTAAAAGCTGAGTTATTTGGACGTACCTGTCCAAAATAACGACTAATGCATTCAGCATAATACATCGTCTCCTATAGTTGGCAGGTCAAAACTTGTCGGTATTCAATTTTCGCTATACTTTTCTTAAAAGAATCTTGAAGGAATTGGAACACTTACAGCTAACTTTTTAAATTTCATCCGAAGTAGACATTCAACGGGTTTGGCCAAAATTTCTGTCAGTATAACTTAAATTTCGTCTATTTGGTAAATCAAGAATAGTTGCGCAACTTAAAGAAAGGAAGGAAAATAAACTTTAATAAGGATGGGAAGAACAAATTCATCCTTATTCATAGAAACCCACTACAGTCCTCGCCAAAAGAGATTCTCCTAAACAAAGCAAGAGTTAAACCGGGAGCCAATCAGGGAAGTGAAATAGACTTTGCAGAATATCAAATGCGTAGGCTATAGGAAGGTTGAGTTTTTAGTGTAGTTGAAAATGTATCGGATGTGTATCTCCAAGTAGTGATCCATTTCGTTAAAAAAGTATTAATTCGCTTTTTGACTGATGCATAATTGCGTTATCAGAAACAGGAACTGACTTTGAGAATCGAAATATAAAGAAAGACGCATATCAGACCTTCTAGTCAGCTTGTATAAAGAAGATACGAAAAGTAAATGGGTTTCGATGAATCTCCATTTTATTCGTTGCCAGCATAGAATCTCCACGAGCAAGAAGTCCAGAAAGTAAGATATTCATCCATCAGAAATAGTAGGTTTTATGATCCAAATCGACCCGAACACTTTGATCTTCCTTATATAAGATTTCGACTCCCGCTGTGGGTGTTGATAAGACCTATGCGAAGTCGAAACTGCAGTCCACCCTGAATAAGAACAACTTTTGGCAAAGCAAGGCTATGTGAAATTCAATGGAAAAGTGAGCTATACTCACATCATTGTGGGAAAATTCTACTACCAGTCCTTCATCACCTTAAGCGAAATTGGGTGAATACATCTCATATAACTCATCTACTGGTAGACTCGAGACAATATTTACATACGAAAAATAAGATTTCTAGTCCCCCTAGGTCGCGTAAGCTGATAAATGGCTAAGAATTGAATTTTTCCATAATTCTATGAGAAGACCTCGCATTTCTATTAAATTTTACATAGCCTTGCTTTTCCAAAAGATACTCTCATCCAGACTCGAATGGACTGCAATTTCTACATCATCTG